ATAAATATATATGTGCCAAACAATGGAGCATCTACATTCATCAAACAAACTCTTGTCAAGTTCAAGAGTCAAATAGACTACAACACAATAATTCTGGGTGACTTTAAAACACCTCTTTCACCACTGGATAGATCTTCCAAACAAAGTTGAACAAAGAAACGATAGAATTCAATAAAACAATTGATAACTTAGACTCAACTGACATATAAAAATATTTCATCATCAATGAGTGAATACACTTTCTTCTCAGCAGCACATGGATATCCTTCTCTCAAACAGACCACATAGTATGCCACAAATCAACTCTTAGCAAATAGAATAAGCAGAGATACTACTCTGCATTCTATCAGATCATAATGGAATGAAATTATAAATCAATGATAAAATAAAAAGCAGAAGCTACTCAATACCTGAAAACTAAATAATATGCTATTACATGAACAATGGGTTGCAAAATATATCAAAGAAGAGATTAAAAATTGTTAGAGGTAAACGAGTACTAATACAACATCAAAATCTCTGGGACACTATGAAGGCAGTACTAAGAGGAAAGTTCATTGCATGGAGTTCATTCCTTAAAAGAAGAAAAAGTCAACAAATAAATGACCTAATATTACATCTCAAAGCTCTAGAAAAAGAACAAATCAACACCAAAAGCAGTAGAAGACAGGAAATAATTAAAATCAGAGCTGAAATAATGAAATTGAAACAAAAGAAACAATTGAAAAAAATTGACAAAACAAAAAGTTGGTTCTTTGAAATAATAAATAAAACTGATAAACTCTTAGCTATGCTAATGAAGAGAAGGAGACAGAAAACTCAAACTGCTAACATTCATGATGAAAAAGGAAATATCAAGACACACAATATAGAAATACAGAAGATAATTAGAAATTATTTGAAAATTTATACTCCAATAAATAGAAAATACTGAAGGCATTGAGAAATTTTTATAGGCACATGATTTGCCCAAACTGAATCAGGATGATATATACAAGTTAAACAGATCAATTTCAAGATACGAAATAGTAGACACCATTAGAAGCCTACCAACAAAGAAAAGCCCAGGACCAGTTGGATATACAGCTGAGTTCTACAAGACCTTCAAAGAAGAACTAATACTTCTCAAATTATTTCATGAAATAGAAAAAGAGGGAACACTTTCAAACTCATTCTATGAGGCCAATATCATCCTGATTCCAAAACCAGGCAAAAACATCAAAGAAAGGAAACTTCACACCAATATCACTAATGAATATAGAAGCAAAAATTCTCAATAAAATTCTGGCAAATCAAATACAAAAAAAAACCATATCAAAAAGATAGGGTACCACGATCTAGTAGGGTTCATCCCAGAGATGGAAGGTTGGTTGGTTCAACATACAGAAACCAAAAAATGTAATTCATCACATCAATAGATTTAAAGATAAGAATCATGATCATCTCAATAGATGCAGAAAAATCATTTGACAAAATACAGCATCCTTTCATGTTAAAAACACTAGAAAAACTAGGGAAAACAGGAACATATCTCAACATTATAAAAGCAACTATGCTAAGTCCCATGCCAACATCATTCTAAATGGAGAAAAACTGAAAGCATTTCCTCTAAAAACTGGAACAAGACAGGAATGCCCTCTTTCACCACTTCTGTTTAACATAGTTCTTGAAATACTGGCCAGAGCAATTAGATAAAAGAAATTAAATGGATACAGATAGGAAAAAAAGAATTCCAATTATCATATTTGCTGATGACATGATTCTATACCTAGAGGATCCAAAAAAATTCCACCAGAAAACTTCTAGAACAAATAAATTTGGAAAGGTAGCAGGATATAAAATCAACACCCATAAATCAAAGGCATTTCTGTACATCAGTGACAAATCCTCTGAACAAGAAACAAGGAAAACTACCCCATTTATAATAGCCTCAAAAAAAAAAAAAAAAAAAAAAAAACCTTGGGAATCAACTTAATGAAAGTGGTGAAAGACCTCTACAATGAAAATTACAGAACACTAAAGAAAGAAATTAAAGGAGACTTTAGAAGATGGAAAAATCTCCCTTGTTCTTGGATAGGCAGAATTAATATTGTCAAAATGACCATACTATCAAAAGCACTATACAGATTTAATGCAATTCCAATCAAAATCCCAATGACATTCCTCATAGAAATAGAAAAAGCAGTCATGAAATTCATTTGGAAAAATAAGAGACCCAAAATAGCCAAAGCAATCCTTAGTAAGAAAAGTGAAGCTGGTAAGTGAAGCTAGCCAATCCCTAAAAAACAAATGCCAAATGTCTTCTTTGATATAAGGAGAGTAACTAAGATCAGAGTAGGGACGAAGAGCAGGAGAAGAAGATTAACATTTAACAGGGATGAGAGGTGGGAGGGAAAGGGAGAGAGAAGGGAAATTGCATGGAAATGGAAGGAGACCCTCAGGGTTATACAGTGGAGGGGGTAGAGAGAGAGGAGGGGAGGGGAGGGGAGAGGTGGGGGGGGGAGGGTGGAGAATGGGAAAGGCAGAGGAGCACAACAGACACTAGTATGGCAATATGTAAATCAATGGATGTGTAACTGATGTGATTCTGCAATCTGTGTATGGGGTGAAGGTGGGAGTTCATAACCCACTTGAATCAAAGTGTGGAATATGATATGTCAAGAAATTTGTAATGTTTTGAACAACCAACAATAAAAAATTAAAAAAAAAAAAGAAAAGAAAAGTGAAGCTGGTGGCATCACTATATCAAACCTTAAACTATACTACAGAGCAACAGTAATAAAAATGGCACTGTATTGATACCAAAACAAACATGTAGACCAATGGTACAGAATAAAAAACACAGAGACAAATGCACATAAATACAGTCATCTCCTATTAGACAAAGTGACCAAAACATATACTAGAGAAAAAGTAGCCTGTTCAACAAAATGGTTCTGGGAAAACTGAAAAATATGCAACAAAATGAAATTAAGCCCCTCTCTTTCACTATGCGCAAAACTCAACTCAAAATGGATCTAGGATTTAAACCAGAGACACTGTGTCTATTAGAAGAAAAAGTAGGCCCAAATCTTCATCATGTCGGATTAGGCCCCAACTTCCTTAATCAGAGAATTAAAATCAAAGAATCAATAAATGGGATGGATTCAAACTGAAAAGCTTCTTTTCAGCAAAAGAAAAGAAATCAATGAGGTGAATAGAGAGCCTGTAGAATGGGAGCAAATTTTTACCACTCGCACATCAGATAGAGCACAATCTCTATATAAAGCACTCAAAAATATTAACACACACACACACAAAACACATATTCCAATCAATAAATGGGCCAAGGAACTGAACAGACACTTCTCAGAAAATGATACAATCAATCAACAAATATATGAAAAATTGTACAACATCTCTAACAATTAAAGAAATGCAAATCAGGGGCTGGGGATGTGGCTCAAGTGGTAGCGTGCTCGCCTGGCATGCGTGCGGCCTGGGTTCGATCCTCAGCACCACATACAAAACAAAGATGTTGTGTCCGCTGAAAACTAAATAAATAAATAAATATTAAAACTCTCTCTCTTTCTTTCTCTCTCTCTCTCTCTCAAAAAAAAAAAAAAAGAAATGCAAATCAAAACTACTCTTAAGATTTCATCTCACTCCAGTCAGAATGGCAGCTATTAAGAATACAGACAACAACAATTATTGATGAGGATGTGGGGAAAAAAGCACACTCATACATTGCTGGTGGGACTGCATGTTGGTGCAGACAATCTGGAAAGCAGTAGGAGACTCCTTGGAAAACCTGGAATGGAATCACCATTTGACCCAGCTATCTCTCTCCTTGGTCTAATACCCAAAGGACTTAAAAACAGCATACTACAGGGACACAGCCACATCCATGTTTATAGCAGCACAATTCACAGTAGCTAAATTGTGGAACCAACCTAGATGCCTTTTAGTAGATGAATGGATAAAGAAACTGTGGTATATAAACACAATGGGATACTACTCAGCATTAAAAGAATAAAATCATGGCATTTGCAGGTAAATGAATGGAGTTGGAGAATATCATGCTAAGTGAAGTAAGCCAATTCCAAAAAACAAAATGCTAAATGTTTCTCTGATATGTGAATGCTGATCCATAATGGGGGTTGGGGGGAGTATGGGAGGAATGGAAAAACTTTAGATAGGGAAAAGGAGAGGGTGAGGAAAGGAGGGGCCATGGGTGTAAGAAAGACGGTGGAATGAGATGGACATCATGACTCTAAGTACATGTATGAAGACAGGAATGATGTGACTCTACTTTGTGTACAATCAGAGACATGAAAAATTGTGCTCTGTATGTATACTATGAATTGCAATGCCTTCTGCTGTCATGTATAACAATTATAATAAATAAATTAATTTTTTAAAAAGTAGAATGGATATAATTTAAAGAAAACTATTTTTTCCCAAAAGGCTATATACAAACATGAATTAGGACAAAAAATGAACTGTTATATCCTACTATATGAAAGACTAATGAGATACTTTAAATTACTTTTGACTATTTTTAACTGACTTTTAGAAAGAATACAGATCTCAATCTATCAGTATCTACTTTCAACCTTATAAACCTATTTTCTATGTTATAAATTTGATCTATTTTTAAGGGTTGACACAGCTGGGTGAACTGAGGAGCCAATGAATATTATAATCTCATCTCTAGTCATTATCCTATGTTTTTTGTCATATCTTGATCTGAACATATCACCATAAGTAGTATTTTATCTCTGATCATGGTTCTGAATGTCTCTCAAATTACTCCCACTATCTTAAATATAGTAGTATCTTTGTTAACAATTATACAAACTACTGGTTTGTATCACTGACTTTTAATGATAATTCCATATATATGAAGAAGACCATTTTTTTCAGCCTTTGCAAACTTTAAAATGTCCCTTAAGAAGATGAGGTAACAATGACCCTAGATATCTGAAATAATCACACTTTTGAGTAATAGACATATTTACCTGCATCTTCAGGGTTTCTTATTTCAAACACCAATAAATTTTCCTGTTTTTCTTCTATATCTTGTAGAATGGCACTGATGGTCTCATGCTATCAGATAAAAATATCAGAAACTATAAGAGGGTAGATATGCTCTCCCACCTGTCACTGACAAAAATGCACATTTATAACAAGCTGCTAAAAATGTTTCATTTTTCTTTATGCTCATGTTTTATGTAAGCTTAACTATATAAATGTCATAGAGTTGAAAAAAATAGTAAACAGATCTTGATTTATATAGTCAAATCTCCTGGGAATGTGAGAGTAGCAATCATACAAGGAGTCATAACTTCTCATTTTGTTAAAATTATAGTCATCTGACAGGAAAAAAACAGCACATACTATTTAAAAATCACATATATATGAAAGTCCACTTTAAGGCTTTATGACTATCACTGAATAGTATTAAAATCTCATACATAATCTTCAAAGTATAAAACATTACTCTCAAAAACTCATAAAGGGTATTCTACCCCTTGATGCCTTTGTCTATATTCATCTTCCTTCCCTGAATGTCTTCAATTCACACTGCCCAGATCCCTGTCTTTCTTATGAGAATCTTAGAGTAGGCTCCAGAACCAGAATGTCTGTGGGTGAATATTGGCTCCACCTCTTCCTAACTGGGTGAATCCAGCAATGAAGTACTCTGTGTTTGAAATGAGTAACACAGGTAAAATGCTAAAGGACAATGTCAGCACAAAGTAAGAGCTTAATAAATATTATTATATAAATATATCTGTTATATTGTTATATATATAAATCACATATATCTCATACATGAAACCTCTGATCTAATACATACTGATTTCTCTTTTCTCAGAATTACTTAAGAGTTTCAGAGCTTTATAATTTAGCATTAATATGGATAATGTCATATACATAGAATGTCCTTATCAAGATAATGAGGTCTTGTAGGCAGTAGCATAGTTTTTACATTTGTATATGCTTTCCCTATTGCTGGATACATAGTTATTGCTCCATAAGTGATGACTGATGGATTAACTCATTTATCCTTTCATAAATTCTCATACATTTTTAAAATGTGTAGGTCATCAAAGTCTTCTGAAGTATGTTGCTCTAAAATTTTTACTTTGGTGTTCACAAGGGATATGAAAAATGTACACAATAAACATAATATAATATTCTAATTATTTAGTTAAGCACTCTTCCTGCTGTCATTTATTGAATACATCAAAGTGAAACTATAAAATGCAAACATGCAAACCAAACAAAAAGCCTAAGGTTTACCTCCTTACAGAGTGAATAGCTTATGGGTACACAAGAAAACTAAAAGTCTAAACTTATACTCGGGCTAAGTCTGCCTCCACCTACAGGCTAGGATAAAGAAAATTTCTGGTGCCAACTTTCTTTTCCATTTTGTGATTGAGCACATTGGACCACAATGGGAGAAAACTTTCATTCAAGATAATCTTTCACTTATGATACTACCTTTTTAGGAAGTTTGTGTCTTAGTAAACTTTATGTTTTTGTCAAACTGAGAATATCCATCTTTATAAAGGTTACTTTCATCTGCTATATCTGGGTTCTAGAGTCTTGCCAACGTATTATATATCCTAGATAGTTTTGAGAATGAGTGAGTGAAGACATACTATGACAGTGGCAGAGTTAGTTGGATAAGAAGTAGCCAAACACAAGCTAGGTATAAAGGACAGCAACTAATACAAAGTTCTGTATTCAATGCAGATAAGTCAGAGTTAACCATACAGCATACTTTCTTGGCTTATTCTACTCAATTATTTTCTTATTACAAAAAAGCATTTTCAACAACCTTGTGTCCTTATCATGGAAAGAGTTCTGCCAATAGCCAGTGGCTGGATGGTACAAAGAAAGGCATTTTCTAGGTTGAAGATAAAAAGAGTTGTAATTTTACTCACCACAGGAAGACTTTCTCTTGTTTTTTCTTGGCGTGAAAGGGAAGATGGATCAACATTTTTGTCAACATCACAAAAACACTGTTTGTGTCTTTTTGTCCGAACAGCAGGAATTTCTGCTTTAAAAAAATCAATTTTAAAAATAGATAAGAATATGCAAACATGTAGCTTTATTTTATCAATTTTAATGGTAATATGAATGGGAAAAATATAATTTACAGTTATTATATCTTAATGTTAATTAAGGTATTAATGGTAAATACCTTCTATGTATCAGTTTAGTCTTCCTACAAACTTTTTCATGTAGGTAGTATAATATATTTATTTCACAAAAGAAAGCGAGGTTTCAGAGAAGTTCAGGAAGTTGCCCAATGTCACACAGCTAGTACTTAAACCAGATGTCATCTGACTCCAAGTCTGTGCTTTTAACTATTATAACTATGATTCATTGTTCTGTAAAGTTCTCTTGGACCCTTCTCCCACCATGGATTCCCTTTCTTCATACTTCCATTTGCTCTGTACCCCTTATCCCATTGGGGTACCTAACTAAGAAATGTACATACAAAAAACAACAGACATGGGAACAGGTATACTAGTATATAACAGAGTCCAGATAACTTCAGATACAAGATTTCTCTGGTATGCTGAGCTCAGCTAAATCATGGGACTTGAACCTTACGTATGGCTGTGGAGAGGAAGAGTGAAATGGCTAAGGACATAAGAAAGGGGCTCACGCTACAGACTTACTATACAGTGGCAGATCATAGAAAACTTTTTAGCAGTCTTGATCTTAACCAACATGTGATCCATCTTGCTAGTAAAATATTACACAGTGAACATCCTTGGTCCTGCCTAATCATACATTAGTAATTTTTCCTCCCTTGAAAATCAATAGTTGGTGAGGAAGGAGGCAGGCAAGGCAGAAGTGTGCCTCAGGGTTCTCATCTACCCATTCTCCCTCATAGTGAGGGCACAGGAAGGTTTTCTCTTTTTTTTTTTTTCCTTGTTTTTTTCTTGGAGTTTCTTTTTTTATGAGTCAAGGCTCAAACATGGGGAGAAATGAAGAACGATCTCCTCTCCTCAGCACTTAATAAAATGTAAATTATTGCTAAAAAATTGTTCATAAAATTTTTGCCTAGCTATACATTCCCTTATATAGACTTTTTACTGTAATGTACGTAAAACACACATATGAGTATGATATACTTGCTTAACAACTTAGTATTACAAGAATATTTGAAAATTGACATGAATTCAACCAATGTATGATTACAAATTTTGAAGTAACAAAATATCGGTTGCAGAGTCTTCAGTATAATGTTACCCTTTTCTAGCTCCACTATAAGTAAACTATCTGCCTGGTTTCAGTTACTCCTCTATCTCCAACCCAAAGGTAGGAAGATGAATGTTTGATTAATGAACAACATAGGTTTTATTTTAACATGTAACTCCAATCCAGTAGAATCATATGATCTATAAATTAAACCAAACTTGAAAGTGCTAATTTCTAAAAATACTGGCTTTTAAAAAGTTTAATATCTATCCCCAGTTATGGAATAACATATTACAAATGTAAAAATGTTATTTTTCTTAGTAGAGATATCACCTATATAAAATAGCAAGCAGTACTGACATACATACCAGTGACTGTAGCATTACTTTCATCTCTATTATTGGCTTCAATAGCACCATGAGATTTTAGCAACTCTTTCATTTTATCATTATCTGCTTCATCCAAAGCAGTCTTCTGTTTTTGATCTTTCTGGTTAGGGTTTGCTCCATGTTGTAGTAGTATTTCAGCTGCCTACAAGGAGTTTTTCAAAGTTTTATCTACACATATCTGCTTTAAGACACTACTACCAAGCACTAGAAATAATCCATAAAAGTTTTCAAACTCTAGTCAAGAAAACTTTTGATTAAATTTGATATAGCAATTGCTAACTGATCCATTGATTTGGCCTGATTAGTTTTTCTTCCAGAGAGCCAAAAAACATAATATGAAAATAAAAAATGTTCTACAAGACCTTTAAAGAAGAACTAACATCAATACTTCTCAAACTATTTCATGAAACAGAAAAAGAGGGAACACTTCCAAACACATTCTATGAGGCCAATATCAACCTGATTCCAAAACAGACAAAGACACATCAAAGAAAGGAAACTTCAGACTAATATCTCTAATGAACATAGATGCAAAAATTCTCAATAAAATTCTGGCAAATCAGATACAAAAACATATCAAAAAGACAGTGCATCATGATCAAGTAGGGTTCATCCCAGGAATGCAAGGTTGGTTCAACATAGGGAAATCAAAAAATGTAATTCATCGTATCAATAGACTCAAAGACAAGAATCATATGATCATCTCAATAGATGCAGAAAAAGCATCTGATAAAATATAGCATCCCTTCATATTCAAAATGCTAGAAAAACAAGGGATAACAGGAACATACCTCAACATTGTAAAGGCTATCTATGCTAAGCCCCAGCCAACATGATTCTAAATGGAGAAAAATTGAAAGCATTCCCTCTAAAAACTGGAAGAAGACAGGAATGCCTTCTTTCACCACTTCTATTTAATATAGTTCTTGAAACTCTATCCAGAGCAATTAGACAGGCAAAAGAAATTAAAGGGATACAGATAGGAAAAGAAGAACTCAAATTATCACTATTTGCAGATGATATGATTCTATACCTAGAAGACCCAAAACATTCCACCAGAAATCTTCTAGAACTAATAAATGAATTCAGCAAAGTAGCTGATATAAAATCAACACCATAAATCAAAGGCATTTCTGTACATCAGTGACAATCCCACTGAAAGTGAAACTAGGAAAACCATCCCATTTACAATAGCCTGAAAAATAAAATACTTGGGAATCAACTTAATGAAAGAGGTGAAAGACCTCTCAATGAAACTACAGAATGCTAAAGAAAGAAATTAAAGAAGACCTTAGAAGATGGAAAGATCTCCTTTGTTCTTGGATAGGCTGAATTAATATTGTCAAAATGACCATACTACCAAAAGCATGACACAGATTTAATGCAATTCCAATCAAAATCCCAATGGAATTCCTTATAGAAATAGAAAAAGCAATCATGAACATCTGGAAAAATAAGAGACCCAGAGTAGCCAAAGCAATCCTTAGCAAGAAGATTGAAGCTGGTAGCATTACTACACCAGACCTAAAACTATACTGCAGAGAAATAGTAACAAAAACAGCATGGTATTGGCACCAAAATAGACCTGTAGACCGATGGTACAGAATAGAGAACACAGAGTCTAACCCATATAACTTCAGTTATCTTATATTAGCAAAGACGCCAAAAACATTCATTGGAGAAAAGATAGCCTCCTCAACAAATGGAGCTAGGAAAACTGGAAATCCACATGTAACAAAATGAAATTAAACCTCTATCTCTCACCATGCACAACACTACACTCAAAGTGGATCAAGGACCTAGGAATTATACCAGACACCTTGCGCCTAATGAAAAGTAGAAAGAGTAAAGAAAAAGTAGGCCCAAATCTCCATCATGTTAGATTAGGCTCTAACTTTCTTAATAAAACTCCTGTAGTATAAGAATTAAAACCAAGAATCAATAAATGAGATGGATTCAAACTAAAAAGCTGCTTCTCAGCAAAAGAAACAATCAGCGAGGTGAACAGAGAGCCTACAGAATGGGAGCAAATCTTTACCACAAGCACATCAGGTAGAGCACTAATCTAGGATATATAAAGCACTCAATAAATGGGACAAGGAATTTAACAGACACTTCTCAGAAGATGATATGCAATTAATCAACAAACATGAAAAAATGTTCAATATTTCTAGCAATTAGAGAAATGCAAATTAAAACTACTCTTAAGATTTCATTTCACTCCAGTCAGAATGGCAGCTATTAAGAATACAAACAACAATTAGCTTTGGCCAGGATGTAGGGAAAAACGCACATCACTGGTGGGACTACAAACTGGTGCAGCCAATCTGGAAAGCAGTATGGAGATTCCTTGGAAAACTGAAATGGAACTACCATTTGACCCAGCTATTGCACTCCTCAGTCTATATCCAAAGGATTTAAAAACAGTATACTACAGAGACACAGCCATATCAATGTTTATAGCAGCACAATTCACAATAGCTAAATTATGGAACCAACCTAGATGCCCTTCAGTAGATGGATAGGGAAATTTTGGTGTACATACACACAATGGAACATTACTCAGAATTAAAAGAGAATAAAATCATGGCATTTGCAGGTAAATGGATGAAGCTGAAGAATATAATGCTAAGTGAAGTAAGCCAATCCCCCAAAACCAAAGGCCAAATGTTTTCTTTGATATGTGGATGCTGATTCATAATGGGCCTGGGGGGGAGCATGGGAGGAATAGAGGAATTTTAGATAGGGCAAAGGGGGAGGTAGGGGAAAGGAGAGGGTAAAGGGGTAGGGATGATGGTAGAATGAGTCAGACATCATTTCCCTAAGTACATGTATGAAGGCACGAATGGTGTGAAAATATGTTGTGTACAATGACTTGAAAAATTGTGCTCTATATGTGTAATATGAAATGAATTGCATTCTTCCATCATGTATAACAAATTAGAATTTAAAAAATATATTACTGGAAAAAAAGAAAGACTATATAAAAAGAAAGAAAGAAATAAAGAAACTGCTGTTACTGCTAGGGCTGTAGCTCAGTGGTAAAGTGCTTATCTCGCATGTGTGAGGCACTGGGTTTGATCCTTAGCACCACATAAAAATAAATAAAGATACTGTGTATTCATCTACAACTCTCTCTCTCTCTTATTTATACATATATGAAACTGTTGTTGTTTTTGGTGTGACAATGGAATTATGGTTAGGTTTTTTTTTTAAAGAGTCTTTAGAGGGAGGTTTGCTATGATATTTAAAGATAAAGTCTGGTAAATAATATGGGAGAGGAGAAAGAATCAGGATTGGGTACAGATGAAACAAGATTGTTCATAAATGACACTTGTTGAAGCAAAAGGATGTATACATGGGGTTTATTACACTGTACATGTTTAAAATTCTCATAATGTAAAATAAAAGAGAAATAAATTCAGGTTGAATTTAAAAAAAAAAAAACAAAGAAAATATATACCCCACAGCCGTGCCCCCAATGAACCACTTTCTCCAGCCATACCACATCCACCTCCAATCATCACCCAGTTAATCCCATCAGGGATCAAATTCACTGATTATGTTAAAGCTATAATATGGTCTTTTTTCCTCCAAACCCTTTTGCATTGTCTCACATGTGAGCTTTTGGAGGACATGACATCTAAACCATAATACTTAGGTTAGTGAATCTTTATCATAAATCTTTATCCAGTTGACTCCAGTGTTGTGACATTATTTGATCCAACATCCATTCCCAAGCCCCTTCTCCTTTGTTATCTTCCTTTATAAAGGCTAGAAAATCTAAAAACATGCTTTCACAGTCTTTCCTGCACCTATGAGTGACTTCAAGAAAACTTTTACATTCTTAGTTTAAAAAACAGAAACAATTGAGACCAACTCTTCATCTTTCTTCCTATCTTAGATGAGTATGTGATCTCAGGAACTGTGTAGCCATCTTGTGACTATAAAGCAACAAACATGAAAGATAGAGTTTTGATGATACCATTAAACTTCTATATCAATTCTAGACTACCTACCTCTAACTTTCTTTAAGTGAGAAAAGAAATGAATAATTGCATATTCAAAAAAGAAAGAAAGAAAATACAAAATGCTGACTTCATTGTTATAAAAAGTTAACAGAGGTAGGCCCACTTCTAGATCAGTTCTGCCCCAAAGAATTTTCTGTAATAAAGAAATGTTCTATATCTGCTCTGTTCAATAGAGTAGCTATTAGTCACATGTGGCTCGCTGCAGGATATAAAATGTGGCTAATGTGACTAAAGAAATGTATTTTGAATTTTATTTAATTCAAGTTTACATAGCAAAATTAGCTCACAGTTACCTCATAGAATAGCATAGGTGTAGATGCTGTGTAGATTTAGTCACTTGCATGCAAATGTGAAATCAAAATTAAGAACGGTTGCAAATTAGATTATGGTATAAATCAATTAGCAGAAACTGGTGAGTAACCCCACTTGTATGAGGCAAAAAAGTGACTCAAAGTACTTGAAAAACTTATGACTAGGAAAAAAGGTTCAGGATTTTGTTAAAATGAAGATATCTTATGTGCTAATAGATTTTTATCTTTCTGCTCTGTCCATGGATGGAGAGGCAGAGAAATGTAGAAGCAAATGAGTCAGCAGAAATGACTAAATATAGTCCTTATTTGTTGTGTTTGTCTAGAAGTAACAGAGCTTAAAGGGAAACACCCTTGTTTTAAAGTCAAACATATATAACTCCTGCTACTTACTAGCTGTGTCCTTAAGCAAGCTGCTTAAAATCTCTGAATCTCTTTTTAAAATCACTTATGAGGATTAAATGTAAGTCCTTATAAAGTATCTGGCACATAGTGGGATCTTAAAAAAAACTAGCTCTCTAATACCCCATTTTTCCTTTAGAGAGCTGAAAAGTACCTGTAGTAAAGACATACAGATCCCTGGCAAAGATCTTTGATTAGATATGCAATAGCACCTCAATTAAGTCTAAATAAAGGTGTGGAAGGGAAATTTTACCTACTTATTTTTAAATGATAGGATCAGCAATACCTCAATCCAGCAGTTTCTAAGTCTGACTCCTCAATAATGTAAATTGTGGAACTATTTAAAAATATTTAAATAGATTTCTCATATCATTCCCAGAGATTAATTCAGCACACTAGAA